GTGCTTAGCTAAGCTTAGTTTTCGAGTGTAAGCCTAGTCAGAGTTGTCACAGTTTATTTCTGCGAGATTTGTGACACTGTTATGACACGTTAACAGCCATACGAAATGATAGAAACCAGGCTTCATAGACTATTGTTACGAATGCACATTTTCCCGCCAAAACTACCATCCGAGACGACGTGATATTTGCAAAGATTCGTCGTCATAGAAGTCGTAAAAACTTATGATAAAAAATATCTTCTTAATATATTGCTAGCCTCTGTTATGTTGTACATTTTTTCCAGTATAATTTCATTTTATTTACTGTGATAAAAATATTTTAATGGTATTTGCCATCGTTTTAAAATAAAACTTGTTTAATGCGACGTCCGCGTCGTAAGTTCGCGTCGTAGATCTTAAGCTCGCTAATATGCCGTCGCCACAGAAAAATAGAACATATTGATAAAAATTCTAGCCCTACATGTATATAGGGGCAATGGAAACACATGGAATGTTCTATTATACTTATACTTTTTTTGAATCAATCAACTAAATCCACGGTACTGATATTTTTGAAATATACAAGTTCGTGACATTATGAATCTGGTCAGACTGAATAAATGTGGCATAACATTCAAAAACAAAGCTCTCTCAGCGTGTCAGGAAATGAATATTACGACTATATTTACAAAAAGGGTATTACTAGCTGTGGTAGTTTCTTTCATCTGAGATATGTTAGTCAGAAAGAAATTGTTTACTTTTAGCGTCTCTCAAGAAATATGTTAATTAGCTATAAATTATGCAAAAATCATTGATTATGGGCTCCAGAAAATCTTAACTCGCGCCAAATATAGATTGATACCCGCAGGTTTTTCTTCAGATCTTCTGAAAATAAGTATAAATCATTACAGCCAAGCACATTTCAGCGTAATTTTAGGTCCCCATTTGGAGATCTCAGGCTTCGATTTTAGTGTAATTTTGTTGACCGAACAAGAAGCAAAAACTGGTGTGCCGTCAAGTCGCTGCCGTTTATTCACAATTTATTCAAATGCTCTTATTTTTTGGAACAGGGAACCTGAATTGTATCTTAACTTGTTGATCTAGTTGAAATTTGGAAATAGTCAGGTGTTTTGACACAGCGCGGCTCTACAATTTACCGAAATTCAACCTTCGATTTTGCTTGAAATTAGCTCTGCACGGGTAAAATGAGTTTCGGCGTCTAACGAAGCCATAAAAAGAATTTTCAAAAAATAAATTTATTTTGGACACTTGTATACCAATGCCTTTCAACACACAAAAAATAAAGGAAATCTATTTTCTGAAGTCAAAGTCATCGGACCGCTCTTAGCGGGACTGCCACTTAACCAAGCATAACGTGATTAGGAATTCTATTCAAGTAATTTTGCATGCGTAATTAAGATATTTGATGAAAACACTAGTGACTTTCATCAAGTATCCAAATGCCATCTTGTGATCAAATAGGTGATTATCATTGACTGAATTGCTCATGAATTATTAATGAATTTGAGAAAGTATGTTCAAGTTTATAAACTAATGTTAGAAAGTTTGCTTTTAATTTTACGTTAACCTGGGTTAAACTAATCTGTTTTCGAATAACCGGGCCCAAGTGTTTGAAACGTTCGCTAATATATGATTTATGACTTTTTTGACATTTCAGCTATTTACTATCTGGATGTCACAATTGTGAACCGTTACGGAAAACGTGTCCAGATTATCACTACCCTTCCTGATCCAGCACATACGCGATTTGAAATTCATGTTGGTGAAAGTCATCGAATCACTTCAACACTTTCTACACATCAAGACATAGTTATCACAGCATTTGATGTAGCAACGTATAAGCCAATCACGATAGATGGAAAGATCGCAGTTTTTGTATTGCCAAGTGTTACACCAGTCACTCATGTCTACCATATTCCTTCAGGTGAGTTATATAACTACAGTATGGAGAACACTTGAAAAACCATTGTTTATACCATTTCTTTTTCTCCCCATGAGTAGCTCGCATAATAGTAATAATATACAGTATACAGTATATAGAATCCATATTATTGAGTGAAACCTTAGTCGGATGGTTGACATTTTGAGAATCATTGCAAATTATGTGAAATGCCACAAACTATATCAAAATTCAATATTCAGATTGTATACAATACGTACACTACTGGTTGATACAGTGCAGATCTTATGGTTTAAGTATCGCGTCAGCAGTTCTCACTTGAAGTGATAACTGTATTCAATTAAATTTCACGTTTCTGGTTTCAAACAAGAACCCCTCTCGCTATTTATCACGCTTCACTTGACTTGTGTCCAGGGTTCGTGACTTACAAGCAGCTGCCATGCATCCTTTGATAATATGTAAGCACCGACAGTGGTATATTATCGTCATATCTAGTTGTCTCGTTACAGCAGCCCCTCCAGTTGGTATCACAACAACCCAACGTCCAGTTATTCCTGCTACTACACCAGGTCCAACTGATGCTCCTGTGTCAACACAAGCTCCAACTGATGCTGCTCTATCAACAAAAGCTACAACTGATCTTGCTGAATCAACACAAGCTCCAACTGATGCTGCTGAATCAACACAAGCTCCAACTGATGCTGCTGAATCAACAAAAGCTCCAACTGATGTTGCTGAATCAACACAAGCTCCAACTGATGCAGCTGAATCAACACAAGCTCCAACTGATTCAGCTGAATCAACACAAGGTCCAACTGATGTTGCTGAATCAACACAAGGTCCATCCGATGCTGCTGAATCAACACAAGCTCCAACTGATGCTGCTGAATCAACAAAAGCTCCAACTGATGCTGCTGTATCGACAGAAGGTCCAACTGATGCTGTTGTCTCGACAGAAGGTCCAACTGATGGTGTGTCAACAAAAGCTCCAACTGATGCTGTTGTCTCAACTGAAGGTCCAACTGATGGTGTATCAACAGAAGCTCCAACTGATGCTCCTGTGTCAACAAAAGGTCCAACTGATGCTACTGTATCGACAGAAGGTCCAACTGATGCTGTTGTCTCAACAGAAACTCCAACTGATGCTGCTGTGTCAACAAAAGGTCCAACTGATGATGCTGCTGTATCAACAAAAGCTCCAACTGATGATCCTGCTGTGTCAACAAAAGGTCCAACTGATGCTGCTATATCGACGGAAGGTCCAACTGATGCTGTTGTCTCAACAGAAGCTCCAACTGATGCTGCTGTGTCAACAAAAGCTCCAACTGATGATGCTGCTGTATCAACAGAAGCTCTAACTGATGCTGTTGTGTCAACAAAAGGTCCAACTGATGCTGTTGTCTCCACAGAAGCTTCCACTGATGCTGCTGTATCGACAGAAGGTCCAACTGATGCTGTTGTCTCAACAGAAGGTCCAACTGATGGTGTGTCAACGAAAGCTCCAACTGATGCTGCTGTATCGACAGAAGGTCCAACTGATGCTATTGTCTCAACAGAAGGTCCAACCGATGATATATCAACAGAAGCTCTAACTGATGCTGCTATGTCAACAAAAGCTCCAACTGATGCTGCTGTATCAACAGAAGCTCCAACTGATGCTGCTGTGTCAACAAAAGGTCCAACTGATGATGGGTTGACACAAGCTCCAACTGATGCTGTAACAACAAAATCGCCGTCAGTTCACACTGGAACTGGTAAGATTGTTATGGCTTTACTGTACTTAATTGCGTTTCATTTAGATTTGTGCTTAGACACTGCTCATCGGGGAAGCCAAAATAGAAAATGGTTCTTAATCTACTATATAATCTACACCGTCAGGAGGAGGTCTATAGCCTGAGTGTTGAAGCGAGTATTGGATTTTGCTTGCTTTATATCAATAAAAATTTAGAAAAGTGCATTTCATTGGATGGCATAGAACTTTACCCCAACAATGAGCTTGACATCTTTGTTGCTCTTTGTTAAACATTAAAATAAGGGACCCAGAAAAAAACAATGAGAATTCAAAGAAAGACGGCGCGGGGTTTACACCCAGAAATACTGTATCTATGTTCTTTCAGGATCGGCCACGTTAGGATTGTCTCTTACTTGCTTTCTTAATTTCAGGGCCTGTTGTCGGAACTGATGTCGGTGCTGGCGAAGCATCAACAGTGCCTACTCAAGGTTAGCCCGTTTAGTTGAATATGGGAGAATGCTTTTGTAATTTAAATGCTTGGGCCGAAACCATTATGATCTACTGGCTGCTATATCATATGACGAACACCATTTTATGTGGGGGTTTTTTTCATCGTTTTATAGAAGCAACTGATGTTGTGTCAACAGAAGCTCGAACTGCTCCTAGGTCAACAGAAGCTCCAACTGATGCCGCTGTATCGTCACAAGCCCCAACTGATGCTGCTGAATCAACACAAGCTCCAACTGATGCTGCTGTATCAACACAAGCTCCAACTGATGCTGGTGAATCAACACAAGCTCCAACTGATCCTGCTGAATCAACAGATGGTCCAACTGATGCTGCTGTTTCAACAAAAGCTCCAACTGATGTTGCTGTGTCAACAAAAGCTCCAACTGATGCTACTGTATCGACAGAAGGTCCAACTGATGCTGTTGTCTCAACAGAAGGTCCAACTGATGGTGTTTCAACAAAAACGCCGACTGATGCTGCTGTATCCACAGAAGGTCCAACTGATGGTGTTGTCTCAACAGAAGTTCCAACTGATGGTGTGTCAACACAAGCTCCAACTGATGTTGCTGTGTCAACAAAAGCTCCAACTGATGCTACTGTATCGACAGAAGGTCCAACTGATGCTATTGTCCCAACAGAAGGTCCAACTGATGGTGTGTCAACAAAAGCGCCAACTGATGCTGCTGTATCCACAGAAGGTCCAACTGATGGTGTTGTCTCAACAGAAGTTCCAACTGATGGTGTGTCAACACAAGCTCCAACTGATGCTGCTGAATCTACACAACGTCCAACTGATGTTGCTGAATCAACACAAGCTCCAACTGATGCTGCTCTATATTACGTCAACGTAAAAATTGTGAACAACTATGGTTATAATGTTGATGTACGCAGTAACACAGGTGTCATTCAGGATGTTATGGTGCTTGCTGGTACCGTGCGTGAAATTGAGGAGACAACGAACTTCGCCGAATATTTCGTTATACGCATTTATGATAGCCGTGATGGAATTCCAATTCTGATTGATGGTGAAAGCTATGTAAGAGTTACTCCCAAGTCCTCACCACAGTATCAGTACAATATTGTGGTTGAACCTGGTAAGTTATGAGCGATGATACAATTCTCACATTGTTTACAAGCTTTAAGCCTGTTTTAATTATGCATATTGGAGAAAGCA